TAATTTATGAGAGTTGTATTTTTTAAAGCTATTGAGCTAATTTTCTCAATAAATAATTAGAATCTAATATTTTAATTGATGTAAAATATAAATTTTATATAGTAATTTGCTCTTACGTATCATAAATGCTATAAATAGTATAACTAATAGGAGAAAACATGTGTAAATATTATTATATTTTGTAGATATTCATGATGTCTCAAAATCCTGACTTTTATAAATCATTGCATCTTATACCCTCTCCCATTCATGAATCAAGTTATCAACTACAAGAACATTCACATGTATATACCAAATTAATACATTAGTAAATCTTTGATTTTGAGGAAGTACATCATTATATGATCCATAATAGCCATCGAATATAAGTACAATGTGATTAATGTATTCTAATGATTGGAAGTTTTGTGCAAAAAAAAAAAGATTGGAAGCTTATAAGTGGAAGAAAATCAATCACGGGCGCTTAAGCAATATAATAGTAATTAACTAAGGTCCAAATGAGTCTGAATTTGTTTTGCAGGATTAAAGGCCTGAAGTGTAAATAACTTTTGACAGTAAATGAGGAAAATAATACTAATATGAAAAAGCATCATAAACAATTGTCACGAAAAATCTCCCATCACTCATACAGCTTAAATAAATTAGAGAAGGTTGCACCTAACGCCTAATATATTTTTGTTTAGGCCTAAAGTTAAAGCGCCAGCTCAAAAGCAAGAAAGAGGAGTTAGACAAATGACACGACAGGCTCAAGATGTATAGCTCGGTCCGTTTTCAGGAGAAGGGCAAGCCACGCACGAACTTGGTATAACCCTCAAGGCTTAGGGCAACTAGATTGTTAGACTGTTGAATAAATGTGGTGTAACATATCATGAATCTCATGAGGCTGTGCTAAGTGATACTTGATATTTTACGAACGGGCTCTAAATGTCATGAGAATAACAGTTTTGAATGAATGCTTATAAAAGAATTAGAGGACCACGAGGAGGACATCATCATCAACATCATTAGAATCACTGACATTCTATAAAAATTTTCAAATAGAGCCATTTTATTTTTTAGATTTACCTTGAATTTCAATTAGTCTTAAAATCACTTTTAATTCCAAGTTGCAATCAATGCCACTAAGTATTTTTTTATTTTGACCATAAATTCAAAAATAAATTTTGTTCTAATCTCTTTACATCTTCACATTCAGGTATTAGAGTGATGAAAATTATAATGGCTTTCACACCTCCTTCTTTTCTTGGCTCTATGTCACCTACTCTGCCTTCCTCTTTCTCATTTTATTTCCATTAAGTTGACTCATGAAAATTATGCTTTATGAAAGGCTCAAATGGTATCATATTTATATAGCCAACAATTATTTTCTTTAATTGATGATTCTAATTATGTTTCTCCTTCTACAACTGAAAAGAGTGAACCCAACCTTGATTTTGTAAAATGGTTTCAACCTGATCAGTATGCTCTTTCTGAATCTCTCATCGGTCAGGTGATCAAACACAAGATCGACCTCATGTTCAATGTGGCTGGCTCTTGAACAAACGTTCACTCAAAAAAATTGAGCTCGATTTCTGCATTTATATAAGCAAATTACTGCTCTTAAAAAAGGGGGAAACTCTGTCACTGATTACTACAAACGTGCTATGCTCTTATCTGATGCATTAAGCACTGTTGGCAACCCTGTCACTGATACAGAGTTTATTACATACCTTCTGAGCGGTTTGGACTCCAATTTTAACCCCATTGTTGCTTCTATCACTACTAGAGCTTTTGATTTAAGACCAAAAAAATGGTTTGAGCTACTTACTAATGCATGAGGCTTATTTAAACAATCATAACTTGGTAGCATCTCGGCTAATCTTACTACACGGCCTGCTTCAACAACCAATTTCTGACCACCTACGCCAAATTCATTTTTTTCATGGTCATGGTCGAGGCGGTGGTTAATTTCGAGGGGGTCGTGGTGAATTTGGTAGAGGTCAGAGTGCTGGCCGGTTCTCTTACAATTTCAACATTGCTGAACCTTACTCTAATACCATGTATAGATCAATATGAAAGCCAAAATAAATCACTCTGAGCAAATCATTGTATTCAGCTTCATTTATAGAGTGTCTAAAGGCACCAATATATATAGAGGGTGCAATGCGTGTAGTGCTATGGGTGAATAAAGAAATGACACGTAGGCTTAGATGAACAAACTCTAAAAACCTACTCTCTTTGATCTTATTTATAAGAGAGAGAGAAAATAATTTTTTTAGTCCTATTTATAAATCATATCGTTAAATTTTTATTATAAATTTTCTCTTTCACTCTCCATTGAATATTAAAGAGAAAAAATTTATTATTGAAATTATAAATAAAATTAAAAGAGTAGAAGATAAGAACTAGGATATTTTAGTTTTTGCATCAGTGCGAGAGCCATTAGTGGGTCTGCCATTGTTGGGCTGAGTAGCACAAGTCTTGGGCTTGATTTTATCTTTCATTATTAAGTATTAACTATTGCTGACCATCACTATTGATTAAAATTTTTTAAATTAATATAATCAAATAGATTTTTTTTTTGTTTTGTTTTAAAAACTAATAGTATAATTTTTTTGTCCAAAAAGAAGTCACTTTTATTAATAATGAACCAACATTACAACCACCAATATAATTTTAAAAATTGTATTACAAAAGTTTTTTTTTTAAAAAAATGAGAACACAATCAAAGCTACCCTAGTTTTCCTTTTTTTTATTTTTAAATTTAATTTCATTTGTTCATTCTACCCTATCATTTGTATCAAATACTAGCTTTTTAGGGCCTTAAACCACCTACAGAAAATCATTTTTAATTAAAACTAGCTAGATTTCAGAGCAACAAAAGAACGCTTATTTAATTTTTTAAAAAAGTTAAGATGACTACTTATGATTAACTTTTATATCTTTATTTAAATCAAGAATTTATTGATCTATACTTTTCGTGCAGAAAAATATTTTCCAGTCTCATTTATTATGGCTTATCAAAAAAGACAATAGACTGCTGGCGGAATCCAAATAATTCGCCGATATATATATATATATATATCCTAATTATCCACATCCATCCATCACAATTCATGTATTTAATAATATATGAATAATATCTCACGTGGGATTGCAAGTGGCACTACAGTTTGGCAAAGACTTTTTGAATTTTACCACATGCATGCACATACACAAGAGTAAAATGTTTTAATAATTAAATGATTCCGGAATTTGTGTTCTTATCAAACATAATTCAAATGCAAATTGTGCTTTGATCAAATAAACAGACCTTTGCAAATTTGAGTACACATAAATAGTGAAAAAGCACGAAGATTGCCAACCAGCATGTAACATTGTAGCTCAGCTGATTGGAGACTGTGTTAGCTTAATTAGAAGTTTTGAGTTCAAGTTTTATGAATACAGTGGCATTAAAGGATTCAGATTCAGGATTGGAAAGACTCCGAATATTAAGTACACATGTGAAAAAAAAGTAAGATTTTTTTTTTTATAAAAAAAAGTCGCTATCAGAGGGAGTTGCAAGTTGGAAATGGGAGGGAGGAAAAGAAGCAGTAAAAGAGACAAAAGAATACTCATAAGTTCTGCAAATGAAGTCACGGGATTTGATATTTTCATGGCGCTTTTTTTCTCGGTTGTACGTAGACTCCCAGCAACATCACGGGCATCCATTTTGAAATTATCAACCTTCAAACAACCAAAAAAACGGATTAATTTATCAGTAAGAAGACTGAGCAATTATATTTGTGAACTCTGTTGAAGCAACTGTCTCTGTATATAGTAGTTGGTCCTGGCGAAGAAAAATCTCAACGTTCGCAAACCAACTATCCAGATTCTTCACTTTAATTTTATACTCTATCTCCTATCTTTCTCCTGTGTGCCCAACCAACAACATCAAAACATAGCTTTTACTACTTTCTATACTTTCCCTCTCCTTCTCTTTATTCCAATTTTGACTACTATAAATTCATTGTTACCATTTTTTTCCTCTTCAAGTTGGAATTTGCTGGGATATCATATATATATATATATATATAAAACCAACTCTTTTCCTGTAGTCAATGAGGCATATATAGTTCTGTAGCTCTATGACAATATTTTTTCTTTATTTGTATATAAGACTCAAACTCAAAATCTTAATTCTTATTTAAGAGAAATAATGTGTAATTAACCACGTAATCCAACGATATTGCTGTTTGAAAATTCCTTCCATGATTTATATACACAGATAAATTGCTCTGTGGAAAGTCCTGTTCTGCCAATGAATTATTAAGCGACTTTAGATACTTAATTGTCAAAAAAGAAAATATTAATATTACTGTGTGCATGGGTGAATAAGAAATGAAACAAGAGTAGAGAGATTCCGTGGTCCGTGACCATAACTATTAGATTTATTTCTTTATTATTATCAATTTTTTTTTTACCGCATCTCCAAAAGTTAAAATGGCCCTTGTCTTTATTAATCAGCTAATCAACTCCTTTTCTTAATTTTTATAGTTTTTTCGCCGCAACAAGTTTCCTAGTCATGGCCCTTAATAATACTCAACTGATTTTAGCATCACAGCTACAAGAAGCCAGGCAGCCACCACACTATGCTCAACCTATCAACTGCGTGTTACACTCATCACTCACCTTTCCCTCTCTCTCTCTCTCTCTCAAATTATAATATCTCTATTTCTCTTTTGTTAAAATAGTGAAAACCAGACCAGTCAAAAGACGCTGCAAGTTTAAAGGTTAACAGTTAAAACTGTACTTAAACCAGGTAAAGCATTAATTCATTGGTTTAGTATTGGTTTAACCGAGCAGATCCAGATTTTAACCGTATCTTCTTAACATATTTCATTCACACCTCTTCAACTCTCTCTCTCAGGGACGACGTGGAAACCCAATCATGAAACCCATAATCCTCCTTCCCTGTCCATTCAAAAGACGCAACCCCTTCACCCTCACTCTCTATATATAGCCTCCTACCTCTCTCTCTGTTTTCATTGATCACAGAATCATAACACAACATGAGAAGTTTATCATTACCAGTGTTGTCACTGTTATTATTAGTGGTCGGTTTTAATGGGTTGTTCTGGGCAAGTGAAGGGAGGGTGCCCTTTGCATGTGACCCTAAGAATGGCATGACCAAGGGGTTTAAGTTCTGTAGGGTGAACGTGGCCGTTCATGCGAGGGTTCAGGATTTGATCGGACGGCTCACATTGCAGGAGAAGATAAGGCTGCTGGTGAACAATGCTATTGCAATTCCCCGGCTGGGGATTCAGGGCTACGACTGGTGGTCGGAGGCGCTTCACGGCGTCTCCAATGTGGGCCCAGGCACCAAGTTCGGTGGGGCCTTCCCTGCCGCCACTAGCTTCCCTCAAGTCATCTCCACCGCTGCTTCCTTCAACAACTCTCTCTGGAACCAAATCGGACGGGTCAGATTCTCCCTCCCTCCCTCCCTCTTTCATTCCTTTTTTTTTTTTCTTTTTGCTTTTAAAATATTTATCCCAACAAGATTCTCTCCTTTCCTTTCTTTATTTTTTTTTATTCTCCATCTCTCTCTGCCCATACGAAATTAATTATTTTATTATCTACATGTCACCAAACGCCGTGCTCCATTTTTTTAAAAAAATTAATTATTCAAATTCATCTCTTTCCATTCACTAGTTAGAGACATACAAATATTTTAGTTCACATTTTATTTCCCTCAACTTTAAGATATTGAGAAGACTGCAAAAATTAGTTTACGATAGAAGTTCTTCCCTGAATTTATAAAAACATTTTATTAACGAAACATAGTTTCTTTTTTAAAAAAGGGCATTTAAGAGTTCGGCTTTTTTTTTTAAAAAAAAGCCAATTGAGTTCGTGTATGTATATATATACCCAAAAACAAGAAAAAAAGATCAAACGAAGTATATTATTATATATATCTTTTACAAATTTGCTTTAAAATAATACGTTTATAATTAATTTTTGACAGGGACCAAATAAAAACTACAAGTCACATGTGTGTGTGTCTTGGATGATTGCTTAATTAAAATATTATACACATATGCGTCCCATGTGGCTTGACAACTTGGGAAGCATGTTATCGGAAAAGGATATATATATATATATATGAAATCCGAGAACCATCACCTCAGTCTGTTTACTGGAATGTGACAGCGATGTTGAGAGAGATCATAAGAAGACGTCTTCCTGGCTAGTAGTAGTAATTTTGTTTGTGGCCATAAATAATGCTTACCCAAAATCAAACTCCATTACCCACGCCATGCTTTCACCAAACTAACAGATAACAACAATAGCTTCGCATGACCTCTATCACTATACACAATTCTGGCTCTACCTGTCCCTGTCCTCTTATGTTCCGTGTTTTACCCACTCTTCGCATCATTTAATGTTCAAAGACCATCCTTCATTTGCTGTCCAATTAGTTTTTTCACTGTCAATTCATTTAATACCCAGTTGATAATATACCATTTCAATTAATCATTGCTTATCTGATACGTATACTGCATGCAATGCACACCACAGACCCAAAAGTTGATATTTAATTTCTTATAGTGTCTATATAAATTAATTAATTAGGTGATGTCTATACTGGTTATGGATACACATATATTATAGGTTAAATTTTACTGTGCATGGTGCAGAGCACCAACCAATGGGAACTGAAAGTGACCCTAGCTACTATAGCAAGTGGCAATGACCTTTTTTATTTTGTTTTGTTTTGTTTTGTTTTTTTTTTTGGTGCCACATTTTCTTTGTCTCTGGGGATATTTATGGAAAGTAATTCATTTCATAAGCTCCTTTTGCCACAACCATGACATGAGACCCAATAGAATAGCTAGCCAATATAGATACGCCCACACCCGCCGCTTTTTCCAAAACACTAAATAGGTTGTGACACCTTTTTTAACATATCGTGTTGGAGGTATTATCAATAACACTATTAACATACATGACGTTTAGATTCCATGGCTTTGGCGCTAGTGCTTGTTAATTTTGTACATTGAAATTAAAGGAATATACATTGGCTTTGTTTGTTGCAACTTTGCATGTGAAAATGACAGAGAGAAAGAAAAAGTTCCAATAGTGATATGTGTTACTGTGTTTGGCTGTGGCACAGGTGGTGTCTGATGAGGCAAGAGCGATGTACAATGGAGGAATGGCAGGGTTGACATATTGGAGTCCAAATGTGAATATATTTCGTGACCCTCGGTGGGGCCGAGGGCAGGAGACTCCCGGCGAAGACCCTGTCCTCGCCGGAAAGTATGCGGCCAGTTACGTCCGGGGACTCCAAGGTGACGGTGCCGGCAACCGCCTCAAGGTGGCTGCCTGTTGTAAGCACTACACTGCCTATGATCTTGATAACTGGAACCGCATAGACAGATTTCACTTTAACGCCAGGGTATGTATGCATGCTCTTCTCAAAGTAACTACTTTTAATTATTTAAAAAGTTAATTAAAAGGAAAAAAATATTTTATATCTCAAGGTAAAAAAAAGTTTGGCCTATCTATCCACTGTATGTCCAGCTAGCGAAGAAAGGTACAATAGAAAAAGAAGAGTGGTGGTTTTGTTTGTTTGTGACATCATTTTCGACTTTAATGAGGTTGTTTCAATTTTGTGGAAATGTTGGTGCAAGTGGTCGGTGGGAAGTGGCATCCACTTGTAACAATCCGTGAATCGACCCCATATCTAAAATAACGTGTTGTGGTCTCATCTATCAATCCAACATTCAATATTCAGTAATAATGAAAACTATAGCTAAAAATGATAGAACTTAAGAAGCAGAGATATATTAATGGGTGTGCGTAAATTGAACAATGAAGGTGAGCAAGCAAGACTTGGAAGACACGTATAATGTCCCATTCGAAGCGTGTGTGGTGGATGGCAAAGTGGCAAGCGTCATGTGCTCCTACAATCAAGTGAACGGCAAACCCACCTGTGCAGATCCAGACCTGCTTCGCAGCACCATTCGTGGCCATTGGCGTCTTAATGGGTCTCTTCTCTCTCTCTTTACTTTATATATATTATCTGATTGTTTTCTTCTATTAACACATACCTAACAAACAAATTAAAGTTCTTGTTTTCTACTTCATTTGCTTCTTAATTGAATAGGTACATCGTCTCCGATTGCGATTCAGTGCAGGTTCTGCATGAGAGCCAACACTACACCAAAACCCCGGAGGAAGCCGTGGCCAATTCTATTAGAGCGGGCCTTGATTTAGACTGTGGGCCCTACTTGGCGGTCTACACGGAAGGGGCCATAAGGAACAGGCTTCTTACAGAGAATGATGTCGACCTTGCATTGGCTAATCTCATCACAGTCCAGATGAGATTGGGAATGTATGATGGCGATCCATCAGCCCAACCCTACGGGAAGTTGGGCCCTAAGGATGTTTGCTCCCCGGCCCATCAGGAGTTGGCCCTTGAGGCTGCCCGACAGAGTATGGTTCTCCTGCAAAATAATGCAAATTCACTGCCATTATCCCCCACTCGTCATCGCACTGTAGCTGTCATTGGACCTAATTCCGATGCCACTGTTACCATGATAGGAAACTATGCCGGTAAGCAAAATAGCAAATAATTTCTCTAAATTTAAATCTTTATTATTTTTATTATGAAATTCCTTTTTAATATATTGAGCTATGATTATTCATAGGTGTGGCGTGTGGTTATACGACGCCGTTGCAGGGGATTGGGAGATATGTTAGGACCATTCATGAAGCAGGATGTGCAGGCATTGGTTGTGGCGGGAACCAGCAGTTTCGAGCTGCAGAAGGTGCGGCTAGGCAAGCCGATGCGACTGTCTTGGTGATGGGCCTTGATCAGTCCATAGAAGCTGAAGCCCGGGATAGAGTTGGGCTCCTCTTGCCTGGACTTCAACAAGAGCTCATCTCTAGAGTGGCCAGGGCCTCCAAAGGCCCAGTAGTGTTGGTCCTTATGTGTGGCGGGCCTGTTGATGTCTCCTTTGCCCAAAATGACCCTAAGATTAGTGCCATTCTGTGGGTAGGCTATCCTGGTCAAGCCGGAGGAACCGCCATAGCTGATGTTCTCTTCGGCACTACTAATCCAGGTAAACTCTAAACCACTTTCAATTAGGCCCAATATGGCCCAAATATCAAGTCAAACTCTTTAGCTAAAACTTTGATTGGGGTTTTTGTTGTAGGTGGAAGGCTACCAATGACGTGGTATCCACAAGATTATGTTGCTAAAGTTCCCATGACGACCATGGACATGAAGCCAAACCGAGCAACAGGGTACCCGGGAAGAACCTACAGATTCTACAAAGGCCCGGTAGTGTTTCCATTTGGGCATGGGCTTAGCTACACAAGATTCACCCACACCTTGGCCCAAGCCCCCAAAGAGGTCTCATTGGCTAGCCTTCAAGCCCTAACGAACTCAACCATATCAAACCAAGCAATGAGACTAAGCCATGTGGACTGTAACAAAGTAGTGAAATTGGGCTTCCATATTGACGTAAAAAATGAAGGCCCAATGGATGGGGCACATACCTTGCTAGTATTTTCAAAGCCACCTTCAGGAAGATGGTCTGAAACGAAGCGTTTGGTGAGTTTCCGTAAAGTTCATGTGCCTTCTGGGTCAAGCCAAAGAGTGAAGGTTGGTGTTCATTTGTGCGACCACCTTAGCGTTGTGGACAAGTTTGGGATTCGAAGAATCCCATTCGGTGAACACGAACTTCACATTGGTGATGTGAAGCACTCTCTTTCAGTGCAGGCCTTGCAAGTGCAAGAGATCAAGTCTTGAGAAAAAGACTAATTAACCATATGCTTGAGATTTTAGCATAGCAGCAATTATTAATATTATTGTTGGGCAAAGTCCAATTTGATAATTTGAAAATAGGGGAAATAAAAAAAAGAAAAAAAGAATGAGGTTATTGTGTGATTCGAGTTACGAAAATAAAGGAATATGTGAGATGAATAGAGCAGAGAAAGGTGGGATATATTTGTGAGCCAGAAATGGTGTCAGCAAGTGTACTTACTATATTGGCACTTTTATTTGTTTACATGACAGGTGTTGAATTGGCGAACTTGTTGATAATACTCAATTCTGGTTTCTTTTCATTTTGAATTTTTTTTTTAAATATGAACGGGATGGCTGATGCAATTAAAAACAGACAAACAAAAGCAAGGGTTTGCAAGTTACCATTTTCTTTTGGATGAATGATAAAGAGGTTCCATAAAAATTGATTAATTTAAATTAAAGTTTAAGTGTTAAATTTGAAAAATTTATAACTTAATATCTCAATTTTATAATTTTATTGTGATGAATTTGTAATTTATTTTTTAAATTTTAATATAGTTGAAAAATAAAAAAATATTTTTTTGTTAAAATTTAAAATACAAGTTGCAAATTCATTACAACAAAGTTGTAAAATTTAGAGATTGGGTTACAAATTTTTAAAATTTAATACTTGAGACCTAATTTAAATTAATTGGTCAATTTAAAACCTTTCTGACATTCTCCCTTTTCTTTTACTTTGTTCACTACCAGAAAAAAAATGAAAATCCATCACAAATAAGAAAAATTCATCATTAATTTTAGATTTGGTGACAAATTATCAGTCACTAATTTAGTAACCCAAATGAATCTGTCACTAATTTAGTAAAGAAAAATATCTATCACTAATTAATAAAATTTTGTAGCTAATTTATTTTATAATTAAAAAGTTTTGTGAGTCCAATCACTGCTATGTCACCTCACAAGTATACATAACTCACCACCCATCATGTGTTGCCACTTGGACCTTTAAGTCATGCCATTGCTATGATGTCAACAATCTATTTTAATTTTATTTAAATGTGATGTTGTCTCATCTCAAACTCAAGACTTTTTTCTTTTCATACATGCTTTTTGTCAATTGAGCTGTGATAACCTTTCATTATTGATGTACAAATATATATATATATATATATATTATTTAATTGAACATATATATTTAACCTAAATATATTTTTTTATATTTAATATATTATTATTTAAGTATGTTGATAATGTGTACTATCAGATACACACATTAATACATTAATATATAAATCAATATCTATTATTAGTTAATAAATATATTATTTAATACCAAATAATATATATTATGAAAATTAATATTTGTATATATTGTTCTTTATTATCTATGTTATAATTAAAATATTTTTATATGGTAAAAATTTATTTTATATTTAAATTTACATAATAAAAAATATTTTTTATTTTTATATCATTTTGTATTATATATTTTACTTACAATAAGAGAAAAATTATTTGTATAATTATTTAATTTGATAATTGTGAAGATTTTTTTTTATGTGAACCACTGCATGTATATTATAAATTATTTGTCTTTATAAAATATTTAATCTCATTTTACTATTTTTTTAATTAAAGATATTTGTCACTAATATAAAGATTTAGTAACAAAAATTAGTAACAAATTTAAATTGGTCACTAAATTTATAAAATTTGATTAAAATATGACGACATCTTATATCTATAACTAATCTATCACTAATTTATGTATTCAATGACAGATTTTAGTTCGTCACAAAATTTCTATCACTAGTGTCTATAATTAGTGATGAATTAGAGATCTATCACTAAATGCTCGTCACTAATTTTAATTTTTTTAATAGTGACTTTTATGCAATTTGAATGCCCGTTATTTGCCCAACTGATACAAGACACTTGATATCAAACACATCAATCATTGAACTATTTTTATTAGGTTATTTAAGTGTGAGTAGATTTAAACTAATGTAACAAGTCACTTGTAAAATAAAGTTAACTTAATAATTAATATAAAATAAAAAAATAATTTTAAATTTTAAATTTTAAGATTGAGTTAAGATATGATACTTTTTTATTACTTTTGTTTCCTTCTTCTCTCCTTCCTTGTCAAGTGGTCGCCCTACATCACTAACAAAGACTTTCCCTAAAGCCACCTCAACTTTAGAGGATTTGCCCCCTAGATTGAGTGTACGAGAAGCAACGCTACAAAAAGAGACCATTAGAGCAGGCCTTGATTTTAATTTTGTCAAGTTCCTGTCAGTCTACACTGAAGGGGACATTATGAACAAAACTTGTCCCCTGATTCAAAGTAGTGTTATGTTGCACAACTAATTTAGCGGTTTGGTAAAAATCGAGTGCACTAGATTAATCTTGTTAAGCAGTTTGACCCAGCCTAATACTTTCAATATCAAGATAAATTAAGTTGAGCGAAACTTGAACACCAAACCTAATAAATTTAATTAATTAGCCTGGTCAAAACCCTGCAAATTTTCATAGAATCAGCAAAATGTTTGGCTCTAACTTGTAAGTTAAATAAAAATTGCAAAACGTATAAGTGAAAACATTTTAATTAGGTTTGAGTTTTACTACTAAAATCACGTGGAAATAAACACAAAGTTGGTGGCTTCCTCAACTGCTCCTATATTCTCGCGTACAAGTTTCTCTTTCCCATTCATTTCAACTCAACAACACCCAAAGCCGAGGTTTAGAAATTATTCAAACCGATGCATATTTTGCTAAGTTGATCAAGAAAAGTAGAAAACTGTTGGCCTCAAAAAAAAAAAAAAAAGGGATCGACAAAACATAACAGTAAATTGTCAAATCGGTTGGCAACGTTGGGCAGGAAAACCCAGCATCATTGTTGCACATACACAAAGAGATAGAGATCCATAAATATAGAGATGTGTGTGCAATACTTCATTTACATGTATGTGTTCCGAGTTCATCATCTGGGAATTGGCATGATGAGACGGTGGATCTTAGGCTTAGCTATTGTATGCGTCTGCATTTTCTGGAGAAGCTTTGGTGCGTAACATTCACAAGAGCATGTTGTTCACTGTTTAAGTACTTGACCGTTTAATTAGGTTTTGGTGATTATGAGGGGTTTGATTAATTACAGGGATTAATGGTGATGAATATGAGCCTCAAACACAGACAGGTGGTGCTGATCCAGCTCAAATTGTCGCCAGAGCATTGCTCTGTTTCAACGATAAATATGTGAGTTCCATTATGTTGCTCTATTGAACACAGTATATGTTTTCTTTTTTCTTTTTTTTGAATAAAAAGCCATGGCAAAACGTGCAAAGACATAAAGGTAGGTTTCTACAATGAAATATTATAATGTCAAAATTTCCTCAGCATGTCTGGTGAGCCTTAAAATTAGCGCATTTATTTACTTTTTTGTAAATATAGTCAAAAGAAACCATCCAATCCCTTATAATGAGATCTTTAATTTTCTTGATAATCACTAAAAGTGAATGATTATTGGGGTGGTTGCGTTCAATAAGTGACAGAACATTCATAGGATCATAATAGACATTAATTTTAAAGAACTTCTCTTCTTAATAAAGGTTAAGATCTTTCAAGATTCCCATAAGCTTAATTGCGATACTAGAAAATCCCTTAATCCAATTACCTATGTGATCTCTAATAATGCTTCCATATGTAGCAGCACCGTTAATGCTGGCTAAGCCATTAATGTCAATTTTAACCCACCCAAGATCTGGAGGGATCCATTTAGCTTCATATTTTTTGTTTCTTTTACCTATACTGGTTGATTTTTGATTGAAGCTTTAGGTTATTGATAATTTATTGAGTGTTGGAGAATGCAATGTCACTATCTAGGATATCATTTTCTGAGTATAACTTTTTCCATCTAGCTTTCCATATGTTTCGGCAAGCTTGAGTAAAAAATCTTTGCCAAGGTGTTCTTGTACTCATGCTTCTTGCTTCGTTTGTAACATTCAAATCATCAAATCCTGTGCATGAAGAGAAAAGAAAGTATTAAGTTTGGCAAGATTGACTTATTTTTTCCAAATCTCATAAGTTTCCTTACAATCACATAAAATATGAATAGAAAAGTTAGAAGAGTTACAATCAAGAGAGCAAGTATGATATAGAGGAGTATCTCCATTGGCATATGTATAGTTTATTTGGAGACAATCCCTGGCAACTTTTCAAAGAAAACATAATATGTATTTTTAAGTACATATTGGACACTAAAGTTTACTATAGATTTTGTTATGTGTTGGGTTTGGCTCACTTCCTTTCTACGTGGATGAGGCCCATTATTGAAGTCCTTATGAGTTTCATTATCTAAAATAGAGAGGGTTCAAATTAAGGTAATTGGGAGGGGTATATTCAAGATTTAGGTGTAGCCATTTGAGAGAGTACGAGAGAAAATTACTTTCACATGTTCACATCACAATTTTGATAAATATATGTTTGCGTATTTGTTAACCGTTGGATAGGCCTTGAATTTTGTCAGCTGGCTCAAACCATTTGGTTCATCATTTTCAACAATTAGATTGTCGATTCACTGCCTGGTGTGTGTATATGATAATTACTCTGTTTACACTAGAGCTTGAAGTAGGGTGTTTTTCATCTTCTTCATTCTTGTTTATAAGCCTATTGCTTTGGTAGATTGTTAGCAATTATTTGTGTATCTAATTGAGACTTCCTTGTATCTTATTTTGATCACAGTGATTCGTTTTCGTTGGTTGACCTGTAGTTTTTTTTTCTTAAGGGTTTACCTACATCAATAAATTTTTGTGTCTTTCGTTGTATTGTACAATTTATTTTTTTGTTATATATTTGTTTAATTGTCCTCTAAAGTGATGGTATTTTTTTTTGTGGCACATATAAATTATTGGGTTGTGCTTTTCTCTTCAATGCCTATATTAATTTGTTTGTTTATTTTTACTTGACCAGCTGTATTAATTTGTTTGTTGAATAAAACATGTTTCTCCAAATATATGTGCAATACATGAAACCTTAAAAGTACATGAGATGTATTACAAAACCTAAGAGAATGGAATATTTATTATTGTTGGGTTAAAAGTTTCAGATATACAAGAGCTGCGAAGAATCATGGAGATTGAACGAAGCTGGCAACCTGAAGGTGCCAAAAGATAAAACTGAAGAATTCTGTGAAGGCCCATGTCTTTCGGAGACATACCTGGTCCTTTCATGCATCGACGACATTTTCATCAACTTCGTCTTTTACAACAGAGCAACCATTCAGGACATTAAGGATACTGTTCAGGCTGGTTGTGGCTATGGTCCCCAAAGAGGTCTCTTCAAATTCTTATTCATTACTTGTTTATCAATATGTTTTTTTTAATTCAGACTGTTTAAAGACCCTATGGATAATTTTGAATTGATTTGGTGGTGCAGGAAATTTTGATGTAGAGAAACAAATCCAGGCTGAAGAAAACAGAGCAGAGAAGGCTTCCAGCCATGTTCTGTTATTGGGGCTTGCCTTCCTCATCATGGGACGTGGCCTCTTCCTCTAAATATTAATATATTTTCACACACACACACAGAGAGTAGTATAGTACTATATTATAATTTTCTTCAATTTTATAAGTAATATAACTTATATATGCTTCTTGTATAAGTTACTTGTATTACATCGTTACCAATATAAATAAATAATAATAATAATAATAAAAATGGAAATTCATATGACTTGCTGTAAGTTTTACATTACATTTTGATATTGATGGTATATTGGCTTGATGGCAGTGGCAAACCTACGTATTGTTGAAGGTGGGCAATTGCCCCCTTCAACTTGGGGAAATTATAAGGAGAGGTAAGAGTGTTAAAAATTTGCCCCTATTGTTTCTATAATTTTAAACCCATTAGACCAGAATTAAAATGTATTTGAGTTCAAAAATATTTGGGTCTTTTATATTTCACTTAAGCCTAATAGATTTTAATTTTAAATTTATTATCTTTAAATTTAGATTACCTTGATGAGAATATAATTTTAATTTTCCTTTTTAATATTTTACAAAACTCAAGTCAAACTAAATAATAAATAACCCTAATAAAAATAAAATCTGAAATTTTAAAGCATAGAAAAACTAAAAGAAGACTGAAAGACAAGAAGATGGAGAGACTCTTTATTAGATAATAGAGTTTGAGATGAGAGACAAAGTGAATCATGTGAGAATGTGAGATTAAGTGTAAGAAACTGATTAAAGCTAGCAATGATATTGCTTGTTGTCACAATAATTATAGAAAGAGCTTTTTCTATTGTGAAGTTTGTGAAAAGTTAATTGTGTAATCGAATAGAAAACTTATAGTTTAATAGTATTAACAATGAGTTAATCATTCAATAGTTTCAAAATATGAAATCACATAGAGAAAACTTATAAGATATGTAAATATTTATTTTATATATTAAGTTTTTATTTTTTAATTATTTTTACAGTTTATATAATTTATGCCCCCCATCTACTGAAGATTCTACGTCCGCCACTGCTTGATGGCATTGATACATTGATCTTAAAAATATAGTTAAAAAAATCTTATTATTTAAAAATATCTCTTGCAATCCAAAACTAAAAATAATGACCAAAAGTAATTATTATTAAGTGAAAATAATATAAATATAATTAGTATTATATATCAATATAAGACATTAAATATATCGCAGGTGGTCTGTTTTACACATATCGTGAATAATATGACTTGTTTTTCTTTTTAATTCTATGTAATTAACTGAGTTTAACTATTTAATATTTTTATATATTAAAAATAATTGAATTCTTAATCTCTACTCACACCTCACCTCACCCATCTCAGGTGGTGAATAGAATGAAAAAAATATAAAACATTCATCTTACATGGGAAAAAAAGAAGGTAATTAAGAAAAGCCCATTGCTAGGTTGATCACTGTTTGAAAAATCAATTTATTTTGTATCACTTCCTTACAAAACTGACCTAAGATTGTGGATATAAGTTAAGAATTCAATTATTTTAAGATAAGCTTTTTATAGCCCTCTTACTAGAATGCATGGCGCACATGATATGGACTATGAAATAAATTCATTAGCATGAACTGTGTGCAAAGAAAGGTGGCAACGTAATCAGCTACATCAATTATCTTTGTTAAGTAAAGTTATTATTTCGTATTCACTTGTTAGTGAGCGCAGATGAAGAATTTAGTTAATCAGCTCCAACTGTCTGTCACTCATGTGCACAATAAGCGCGCGCGCGCGCGCACACACATGTAAACACCAATAACAAACATGTTTTTCATCTTGAAGCATGTCATAACTCTTCCTCTTTTATCCAAGGACTGCATCAAACTAATTTGATGTGTCAGGATTTATCTATTCCTTGGCCAAGGCATGTCCAAATAGAGTTAGATAAGATGCTATACCGTTGGAATTGTTAAGCATCTTTATTATGCATGACACATACTGACATGAAGCCAGAATGGGACATGAAAATATTGCTTAGTGTTGGCGTGTTAACTTTTCTGATTCCTTTCTTTCTTGTCATCAAGTGAAGAGAAAGAATGAAAGATGTAGTAATTAACTTGTATATCATACTCCTTAGATTTTCATGCATGGATTTCATTTGCTGCAACTTAAACGGTTTCAGTCAAATTGAATGTACTCTTTTTTCCTTTCCCTCTGTTTTCCCTGACACTGCCTAATTTTATCCTTTTTTCAAGCTTGATTTCTGAAACTGTACATCAAGATGACCAAACTTCTCTGCTTAAAGAAAGAGTAGCATATTATAAGAAGGTGAGAAATTGCTTGGTTCCCTCTTTTGCATGAGTATATATGTATTTTATGCTTACTCTTAGTTGTAAACTTTCATATCATCACATGCTAGAAATTGCTGGTTATTGTATTGGTGGATGAGCTTGAATATTTGAAGCCTGAATTCCAATGTCAGTTGGATGAGTTGAATAACTTGCGTGCAAAATCTCACTTGCCTGAGGACAGCGGCGTCAATGATTAAGGATTTGCACAACCCAGTAAAAGCTTTTACCAAGCACTGATTTTTAGTAAGAATGTTTTATCAATAGCAGTTGCTTGAATACTGTAAAATGTCAAATCGTTTGCCTATGTCATATGTCTCACATTGCCTGATCTAATGCAATGCATGAAGTTGATAACTTTTGCTGTTATTTATTATTCTCTTTTTCCTCGACATTGATGCAGCCTGCTGGATTGGATTCTCAGTCTTCATGGAATAATAAAAATGCTCAATTTTTTTCCTCAAACTCAGTGCTTATCGACAAGCAGTTTCAGTTTCTGCCATATACTAAGAACTATTAAGAACTAATATGTTGCAAGTCCGTCAGGTTTTATAGTAAAGGTGTTCTTATTTGTCTTGATAATTTGTTGTGACTTGTTTTCATTCATAACTAGTAGTTAAGTTTATTTGGTTCTTAACTAGCTTAAGTAATGCTATTATTAGACCATAAAAGAAGTCATACATCTAAAGATTAAAAGATAAATTATAAATGTATAAGTTTAGGAAATATCTAACCAAATAGCTTAAACTATTTTGGTGGAATACACTATCTTTAAGCATATTTAATATAAGAAATCTAATATGATATTACATTCATTCGATAAGGGACCGAAAAAAAGAAAAAAAATGAAATAATGAAATGAAAAAAAATGAGAAAAAAAAAGTAATAGAGGGAATATTAAAAAATAGATTATAAATATATAAGCTTTGAAAGTATCTAACCAAATAGCTTAAGCTATTGTAATGGAATATACTATCCTTAAACATACTTAATATAAAAAATCTAATAGCTATGATCACTCCATGTTAGCCAGTCAAAATATTAACATTGAAGAACTTAGAGACATGTGGGGTTTTTGCATCCAACTTTTTTATTGTATTTTGGACTTCTTGGGAGATCTTAGGTATATTGTTAACACATGAGTTCCTTGAGCTTGCAACTTGTGGGATTGAAGAAAAACAGGATTTTCCATATCACTACTCTTATTATTCCAAAGCAGGAGTCAACTTCAGACTCAGTAAGATCTAATGATCATATATAAAGTTAATGCTTTCAGTTTTCAGTTTTATATACTCTTACTGGGCATTGCTTTAATGCTTTTCACTACACCATTGGGCTCTAATGATATTTTTTTCATGTTTTAAAACACTACCTTCTCTGAGGTATGATTCTCATAAACTCTTCAAGTGGAAAGGCTGTTTCAATCCTCATTATATTGCTATTATGGATCAAGTGAGAAAATATTTATCATATCCCTTATATCTCGTATATATAACATCTCTTATGTGTAGTTGTAGACATGTATCATTACAAAAAAGCAACCAATTAGCGATAGAATAACTTTTTGTCATTAATCCGTTGTTAATTCTATTGTTAATTTAGCGATGAAATATGTCATAATTAAAATTTTGTCATTATTTCATCGTTAATCCATCAGAAATAATTTAACAATAAAATTTACCATTAATTTTTAGAATATCTTATTCTAATTTAGTGATGAAATTTGAGATAGAAAATTTTATCACAAAGCTTTATGTCTAAATTCCATCACCAATTCCATCACAAATTATATTCAATTTTTATTATTTATAATATATATTTATGTATAATTTATTAAATAATTTATTGATATGCTATAAATAAATACTTTAAAAATTATAATTTAAAATAATTTATTATTTTAACTTATTTTTATATTATTAATAATAATTCTTTAAATTGTATAATTAAATATCATTATTTAAAAATAAAATAAAATAAAAAAATATTAAGTAATAAAAACTTACAATATCATATATTATATAGATACAAATTATAATATAATATATAATGAAAATAAAATATTTTTTAATTTAATATTAAATTTAGTATCAAAAATATATTTTAAAGTAAAATATACTATAAATAATTATTATATATCAATTAATTTTACCATATTAATAACTAAATATAATGTTAAAAATAAGTAAATTTAAATAATATATTTATCAATATATATGTGTGGTTAAATATTATATATTTAATTTATCGATTAAGATTGAAATTTTTTTAACTCAACTGATAATAAGGTGGACTCAAAGGCATTAGAAGGTGTGAGATTGCAAGCTTGAGCTTGGCCAAGGCATAATTGAAAGTAATAATATTTGAGGTGAGAGTGAGGTGGTGTTGAGTTAGCACTGATCCATTAGGTGATAAGGCGATGGTGAGGTGGCATTTGTCCACCAAGATGATGTGGCAATGATGTTTTGATTAGCCTAAAAATTTGCGATAGAATTAGTAATGAAATAAGTCCTTTGAAAAATTTGCAATATAATGCATTTTGTCGTAAAATTGAAATAGTTTATTCTTATTTAGTGACGAAAATTTATCGTCAATAATTGCAAATTCTATCACTAATAAATTAGTAACAGTGTTTTTACTAATAAAAATATTTTGTTGCTAACTTGTTTAACAATAGAATTTTCATGGATTTTACGTTGCTAATCAACTGTTTTTTTATAGTGTATATAATACAAAATATTAATTTTTGATATATTTCATATAAATGAAAGTCACAGGTTTTTTTCTGTGTGAAAATTTTGGTAAAGCTTGCTACTTCTCCAATGCAAATAGAATCTTCAACAATTTACTAAGAAAAGCGAGGATCTTGCCCATAACTTCTGTGGAGCATTTAAGTTACAAAA